TATATATTATATAAATTATATAATATTATAATATTATAATCTTGAAATGCACATGCATTTATTGGCATGCTTATCAATGATTTTCAATCAATGATTCCCATTAATTAGAGCAGTATCGAAATTTAGTTACCGCTTCGATTATATAGCGTTAATTTGATTAATTTGTCGTTCGTTTACCGTGAAAAGCGTAATCAGTGCATGTTATGAATGCATGCATTAAAAAAAAAAATTATACGAGCGAAAAGTCATCGAGGTTGTTCGTAATAAACGAGGAAACTGTCAATTAGGTCTCATGAAACCTAATTCAACACTATTAAAAATTAGTGCAATGAAATGAAAATAATTTAAGGTAAGTTTAAGGTAAGTTAAATTAAATTTAAAATTTAAAATCTTTTTTAATAGTAAATTTTTTTACATGTTTTTCTGTATATTTGTTTTTTTACTTTAATTTTTTATTTTATAATGATATTTCTTTTTTTCTTTGTTCTTTTTATTATCATATCATTATATTATTATTATATTATATATGATATGATTATATAATATAAATATAAAACAAAAAATCTATAAAAATTTTTATTTATCTTATACATATTATTTTTTTTTGTGTTTACATATATATATATATACATATGTAATACATATAATAAAATATATAAAATATATATAATTAATATATATATATATATGTAATATAATTTATATATGTATAAATATATATATTTTGTATACATAATTTAATATATATATTAATTTATTATAATTTAATAATTTATTAATAATTTATATTACATAAAAGGTAATGAAAATTTGATGTATCATAATGATCAAATATAAATATAACCTAAATAGACTGACAATGAAGTGGAAATACAGAACTGCAGCAACGAAGAAATATATAGCATGTTTCAAAGTATATACAAAGTATTAAAAAATGTTTTCTTGAAAAATATTAAAGATTGCAAAATTATCTTTTAAAATTTAATAATACTATCAAAAAAAATTATTAAGTGTTTTATTTTGTTGACAAAAAGAATATAACATTTAAAAAAAATTTTCTCTCATTCTTAATGGTTCTCAAGATAATACTTAAAATGAATCATTCAACATGTAAAATAATATATGAATAATTGTAAATAATTCTTAAATAATTCTAATATGAAAAACATTTTTAATTGATGCATGAGCAATGATAGTAAAAATATGGAAATAGTCTACAATATCATATATTTTATTCTTGAATTTATAACAATATAATAGTTGCAATATAATAATACATTTAATTAGTATTTAATCATTAATATTCATGTAATTTATCGATCATAGACATATCGAAAGACAAAGGATTGTTATCAATTAAAAAAGAAGTTATCAACTATAGTTTATATAGTTTATGTCCTCAGTTACAACGACCCTTATGAGCGGACAATGACCTGACAATTTCAATAACATAAACAGTATAATGATTGGAGTTCGTCACCATACGATCTTGTTCGTAACTAAATTTCAGTATATCTGCTTTGTTGATAAAGGAGGTATTTATAAAAAGTATTACCGATTGAGGAATTTATATATAACATAAACATAACCTAAATATCAAAACAAAACCAAATTAATAAATCAAAGAGAAATTTGTTTAATTATTGATATTTTATATAAAATTATATGATTTAGTTTTTATACATTAAATAAATTATAATTAACATAAGTAAGTAATCTATAATTCTTTTAATAATTTATAATAATAAATTTTTTATAAAATGCACTAATTTTATATGTTAACAAAAATATTCTAAAAATATTATAATTAATAATTAATATAATATATATTTATATATATTATATATATATTATAATTAATAATTAATACATTATTGAACTTTTAAAAAAATAAAATTAAAGATTAAAGTAATCATATTATTTTTTTATAATTTTTAGGTAGAATTTAAAAAATATTTATAAATACATCAATAAAAATATTAATTCTTATTATATTATATTATAATATTCTTATTATATGTAATAATATAGATATTACAATAATACAATATTTACAATTTACAATATTATTAAAAATTATTACAATATTTAATTATTATAATATTTACAATATTATTTACAATAATATAGATATTCTTATTATATGTAATAATTTTGATATGCATATAGGTAAATAAACATGACTTCTCTTCAACTTTCACCAACTGCACCAATGCAGGATGAATCTCCGCAATCCGAAGTGCCAATCATACGAGAAGGTAAAATTTATTTGCATTTTTAATGTTTTTCTATATATGTATATTTCTATTATGTACCGATGATTATTGTTATTTATATATAAGCATTTAAATATATCTTATATATTTTTGTTATTAATAAAAATTTCCTTATTGATAAAGATTTTACTTAAGTATAATATATATATAAATTTTGTTTATGAAATTCGTAAGATATGTATATGTGTATTCTTTGACAGATTTTGTTAAAAGTATTTTTTAAATATGATATTTACTGATTGTAAATCGAATATTGAAACATGTGTTTCAACATTATGTTAATTTTAAATTATATAGAAACTATTCAAACAAATATACATGAAAAAAAAAATTATTAAATTTTTAATTACAGATTTACATATATAATATATAAATTATTATTAAATTGTTATTTATATATAATTATAATTTATATATAAATTATAATTGTCAGCTTATAAAAATAAATTTAATTATATATAAGCATCAATTTAGTTTATATTGCTGCAATTTTTAATATGTATATTTATATTATATTATTTATAATTATAATTATATTATTTATATTTATATTATATTTATGTATACATATTATTTATAATATGTATATTTATATTATATGTATTGTCAATAAATATATAAACATTTTAACATAAAAAATAAAAAATATAATTATGTTAATTTTATCTTATTTTTATCGATAAAAATATTTTTATCGTATATAATAAATCAGAGAAACAAGAGAAAAAAGTTATTATAAAATAAAATTTTTTCAATTAGATAAATAGTTACATACCTTATTTTAGATAATATTATAATAATTTATAAATTCAAAGTATATGGTACGTGAAAAGAAGTTCGTATTATGAACTTCGAGGCATGATAGCACGATAGACGATATAGTCGCTGTTTGCCAAGTGACGATCAGTAAGTAGATAATAGTTGTCTTCGTTGATGGAAGCGTCACGTAAGCGGGATAAGTGACATCCAGTTTCATGTGCCTGTCGCTTGTTTCGCTCTTTTATCGGCGGTAAATATTAATCGTATTCCTACACGTAATTCAACTAGATCTCGATCGATGTTCAAATTGTTTGAAAAAGACGAATTAACTAATTCATTTACAGATTATGAGTGTAGTTGTATTAAATTATTTAATATTGTTTGTGAAAATGCATTGTGTAAATATCGGTATACTATCTTATGTTAATATTGTCACCTTTTTTATACGAATAACAGAATAGCTATAATTATAATCGCAAGTGTTGAATGAAAATTTCGGGTAATTTTTATATTTGATATTAATAATAATGTTGATATTTAATTATGAATAAATCTAAGAATTCATAGATGTTAAATGATTGCTGCATTTCGTACATTTTTCTAACAGTGAAATCTTTCTGATTTGATAAAAATTCCATTAAAAAATATATTATTCATTATTATATTCGTTATTTTGTTTGCTTCTTTTGGTTTCATTTTACGGATAGTAATTTAAGAATGAAGTTGTGGTGAATACAAATGAAATGAATACAATTGACGGTCGAAGAAACCTTGAATTTTGAACATATTTATTTCTATAAATTCTTATCATTAGATAAGAAAAAATAAAGAAAAAATTTTTTCCTTTGAATGAAATTTAAAAAAATTTTTTTCGGCGATAGAATGAAATGAAAATTCTGTAATATTATTGCATATTAACATGATTCATGATTAATTAATAATGTGTAAAAATTAAATAATGTTCTATTTAATTTATGAAATAATTCGTCTATCCAGACATGCTTCGGCGGATTGACAATTTACTATCGATGAATAACATAATTATTCATAATTACGTTTCATAAAATTCCATTTCATATAAAGATCTTCAATATATCTGTTTTTTTTACAATACGATGTTCAGAATACAATATTTTAGTAAATATTGACATTTATGATATATAACTATAAATTGATCAATTGAATTGAATAATCATTTATTTTATAAAATAAATATTTAAATTATATATAATTTGAATAAAGTTGAAATTATTATAATTCTCATTCGTAAATAATTTGATTAAATATTTTTATGCTTTTAGTTGTTATATTATTCTTCTTTGTTCTTCTTTGTTAAAATAAATTATCAGAAATAATAATACAAAGAGAACAAATATATTTAGGATAAAAATATCTTAAATTATTTTAAGATATTATAGCTGGAAAAGTTTTAACTTAGAGGAAAGCATTTATTTTATTTTATTTATCTACAAAGATAACGTGAAACGCAGAGTCGTTTGAAGAGGTAAATCTGTCCCAAGGAAAGTACATACACAAGTTTATCATTTTGCTGAGAAGGAGAAACTTGAGAAAACAAACGATCGTTAGTGTATTTAGTGCTTCCAATAATTCAGTACACAATTTTATTCGTGCCTGCTTTAAATAAATGAATGAAATATATTTTCATGCATTAAAAATGAGGAAGAATTTATGAGAAAAAATGGTGATGGTAAAAAATAATACATATTAAAATATAACTAAACTATTAAATAAAATATTTTGATATATTTATTTTATAATTGAGAAAAATTAAAAGTGAATGTTGGTTGTGAAAAAATATATAAGTGATGGAATCTGAATACTTGGAAATTTCTTGGAAAACAAAAATACAACAAATACGAAAACGAATTCGTGTTTTATTTAGGGACACGTTAAAAAAATATAGATCAAAGAGAAAGGGTTATACCAGATTTCTCACGGATGATGAAAAGAGGTAATTCTATTATATGCTTGAATAATAATTAAATGGATTAAAAATAAATTTAAAAAACTAATTGATCAGGTAAAATAATATTAACGAAAATTTAATGTTATGTGAAATTAATAATTCTGATTTAAAAATAAAAATTCAAATAAGTTTGAATTTAAATTTGAAATTAGATTAAAATTTAAATAAGTATTCGAATTTATTTTGAAATTCAATCTGATTTAAAAATATTTAAAAAACAATCAACCGATTAATCTAATTAAAAGAAGAAATATAATTTTCAATATGTTTTTTATTTTATATTTTAAGGTGGCTTATCATTGCCGAATATGACTTGTCCAACCGGCTTGGAATACCTTACAGTCCTTGATTATTTAGGTATACGGCTGAAAAATACAATAGAAGGTTGGTTTTAAAATAAATGTGTTATGTCTTTCATTATGTCATTCATATAATTCACAGTTTAATTAATGTGTATCAATGAAATAATTACAGTCGACCATTTTTGGGATGCTAAAAATGAATTCTTCGTGTTGAATATCAGAGGAGAGACAATATTTAATGTTATGGAACAATCAGATTGGTGGGGACGTTTATGTTTGGGTGCTTCTCGTACTTGTGAATTTCATGTGACTGATACTTACGGAAGAGAAGTTCTGCGTATGGTTCAACCTTTTACTTGTTCATTTCAGGTATTTTTGTTATCTTCATGTTATAAAAAATATTTGAATTAACAATCGAACGCTGGTAATAATTCGAAAAAAAAAATGTCAATCGCGACATATCAATTAAAAAATTTTAATATTTTTGTATAATATCTTTGTGTAATGAAAAGTTTTTTTTAATAATGTTAGATTTAAATGCTAATTATTTAAATTGCTTCTTTTTATGATCAATATTAATTGCATAATCTCTGATTTTTATCATTTATCTTATTTAATCTGTTGATAGATTCTTTTGTTTATTTTTCCTATATAACAATCGCATTTTATTTTATCTTCGTAATTGTATGACGATAGCATATTCATATTTTATATGAATGTAATAATCAATTCAATGAAAGATACATCCCCCAGCTATGTTACCATAATTGCTTTTTTATTTATGATGAACTAATAGATACAGCTTGCGAAACGTTCGCTTGAATTTCTCGAACATGCGGTGCACACAATGCGCAAACTTTCTTCACACGTGCGCACCATCTGTAGATTACCTTTGACGAAAAGTTATTCGGCCCATTAGAAAAGCCGGTCACGATCGATACTCTTTGACTAGCACCGCTCGTCGACGCTTTTGGACGTGTTGTTTCAGTCTGCGGTGAAGAACCTCGTTCACTTGATCTCATATGAGAGCATTAGGAACAAAACCCTTTGACAAACATCGGTTATAAATGTTTTTGGATACGAAACAACTGAAAAAGTAAATCGTCAAAGTAATTTATCGTATATATTAATTATAATTTATTATATTTTACGTGAATTAAAGCATATAATTATATGTAATTTCTCTTGTAAAAATTTTTCTTCTTTATTACAAAAATCATTCTTGGAGTAATAAAATTTATTCTTTTAAAAATAGTCTAAAATTAAAAAAATTATAAAATTTTTTTTTAAATTATATGTGCAAGTTATAAAAGAAATAAATTAAATTTGATTTATACATCGAACAATTACTATAATTTGTATCTATAATTTGTATATTTAGCATAATGTGCAAAATAAAAAGACTGATAACTGAGCGTAATGCTGACTATTCATTTTGTGCAAATTCTTTGAAATAGATTTATAATAATAAAATGTACATGATTTTTTTAAAGAAGATATTAAATGTAAATATTTCTTGTTGAAATTCAACTTAATTCAATTTAAATATGATTTAATTTTTTTTCTTTAATAAATGCCAAAAGTTATATGTTTGAATATGTATAGTATATAATAATATATAATTTTGAAATTACCGCTATTTTTTATATATATGTATATATTTTTTTAATCGTATATATATATATATCTAGCTTTAAGATTAATAATTTGAATTTTTTAATTTGTTTGTAGAAGTTACAAGTGTATTCTGAAGATATATTACTCGGTTCTGTTTCACAAAATTGTTTCTTTCTAAGGCCAACATTTTCTATTAATGATTCGACTGGGAAAACTGTTTTAAAATTAAAAGGACCAAGGTTTCCAAGTTGTAATAACATAATAGTATATAAGGTAAAAATATTAATTTTAACATACAGTATATATATATATATATATATATATATATACTGTTACTATATATAATTTCTTTCTTTTTTCAGATAAAATCTGCAGATGATAAACATAAAGTTGGACAAATTAAAATAACATTTAAAATGCTAAATTATTTCGTTCCTTTTACCGACATAACTACTGGTGATTTCAATATAAATTTTCCTTTAGATTTAGATGTTAAAATTAAAAGTGTTCTTCTTGGTGCTTGTTTTTTACTCGTAAGTTATTACAAAAATTCAATTGGATATTAGCATTTATAAATTTATGAACATTATAAATATTTATATTTCAGGATTTATTTTATAAACGAAGAAGACAAAGTATTTTGCTATAAAATAAAATATTACAATGAAAGAAATATTTATACCAAAATGTACAATATCGTTAACGATTTTGATTTATAAATATTATTGATTTGATATTTTTGTATTTTAGTAAATAATTTGAAGTACGAATATTATTCATTATTCAAAGTATATTTAATAGTGTGAGATTTCGCGAGTTGTGTGAGATTTATCTTTTGAGATTTCTATTAAAAGACTAAATAAGTTATTCAATTCCTAAATTTTTAATTAACTTTACAATTCTATATAATATTATTATATAAAAATCACTTATTATAAATACTATTATATTTACAAAATAAAATTAATTTTTTTCAAAAATATGCAGTTCCTGTTATATTTTCAAAAGAGGTAAAGTTAAAGAAAAAAATAGTATATTATTACGTATGTCTTTTTATTCGTGTTTTAAACTCACATTTTCATACATCTGATAGTGAAACTGTCTCAGCTGCAGCATTTAGTATGCTATATTCGTCGCAGATGTTCTTGGTTTTAGTAAAAAACGAGAATGGAAAAACAACATGCGTGTAACATCCTTTCCTACATACGTTAGAATACTGCTGCTGGGATGTTGCAGACATTGCACTTGTTGCATTTTTTTTTAACACATCAAAGACCGGATTTGTAAACTAGATTTAGATTTCAAAATGAAAGAGTCAAAAGTTCTTTGTTATAATTCAGAATTTCTCAATATTCAAAAATTATTTTTGTCATTAAATTTCATAATATTTATTTAAAAACATAAAATTTATATAGATTTTGTTACTTAGCAAGAATTCTTTTATTTTTACAGAATATAACTTTATTTCAAAAGATAATATAATCGTTAAATCAACGTTTCCATAAAAGTTTTGAAGGATACCAAGACGATAACAATTTAAATATTGAATAATATTAAATACTGATAGAAATATTCTTTGAAAAATGATTCTTTTTTGTTTATATAAACTTGTTTTCTATATTTATTATTATTAAATGATACTTCGATTTATTTTGACATGAACAAAAAATCTGTTCATGATTGTAAAAAAATTAAGTAGAATTGAAATCGATTTTTTTCTGCGAAACATCGTACAAAATTCAAAACATCCTCAACAGCGGAAAACATCGCAATTCGTTCAATCAATGCAAATTTTTATATAATGATTAATTCATCTTTGCCTCGTAGTTAGATATTATTACAAATGTTGAAGAATTTTTACGAAATAATACGTGTAGATATAAGGATATTTCCGGTAAATAAAAAAAAAAAAAAAAAAAAAAAGAAGGTTACAGATAAAAAGAATAAAAAATGAAAGAGAAAATGAAAGAATACTGCGTGTATTTTTTCTACATGCTGGATTACATGTTTTTAAAAAAAATAGGATGAAACAAAAGTAAAATACTTTTGAAAATATAATAATGCGTATTATACGTAACATATAATACAAGTTGCTCTTCTCTTTTTCATTTTGTTCATATGGACTGATAAAAAGGAACTTGATTCAACATAAGAGACATAATAATAATGGTAATAATATTAATAATAGTAATAATATTAATTAATATAATAATAATAATAATAGTAATAGTAGTAATAATAATAATCATAACGCGTGTGTAAAGAAAAGATGGAGACCTTGGAGACGTGTAAAGCTTATAATTCACG